TTTTTGGAGAGGATTAAGATGAATAATATCTTGATGGGGACCAGTGGAGGACATAATGGTTACATCACGGTACTTCCACACTTGACCACAGTTTGAGTCCTGGACTAGGCGGCTTCTAACTCACGCCGGGTGCGTGTGCGTGTGTGCCCATAATCCTGAGAGGAGAATAGAGGAGAAGGGACTGCTGCATGGCTATCTCACCTGGGGGGTGATTTCTTGCTTTCTGTCTTTGTCTCTCTGGCAAGTGTAAGTGCTCTATAGAAAAAAATCTCTCATAAAAAAGTAATATCTTGATGTATTACATGTGAAGTCTTTCTTGCTATGCCTGTTTTAAATATTTTTGGCTTACTGAGTTTTACTGAGAGAGCTGTAGAGGTCTTTTGCATACTTTTGCTCAGCTACTTTTACATCATAACTGTGGCCTTTTATTTGGAGGAGATGCTGGGCTTTATTATATGCTCTGAAAAATTAATTTGATCCAAAGGAAGTACAACGAATTACTACAAAGTTCACTTCATTTTTCTTCCCCAAATACCCAGGTCAGAGTATAACTTGTTCCCAAGGGTCAGTCTGAGTACACAATCCTGAGGTCCCTGACCGTGGTGGTTGCTTCAGCTACCCTTCTGAAACGAGGAGCCAGGGCACCTCTGTCTCCATCTTTGAAACCCTGGAGCTCTGATGGTCATGACTTCTCCATTTCTTTTCACAAAGGGAGTGTAGCATAGGGAATTCAAGTCCAAATTCTGAGTTTCTGTACAACTTTTATTTTTTTTTTTTGAGAGGTTTTTTGCTATAGGGCGTGTGTGCTCGTCAAAAAGACAGAGAGACAGAAAGCGAGAAATCACCCCCAAGGGGGGATGGCCATGCCACAATCCCTTCTCCTCCATTCTCCTCTCGGGATCTTGGGCACGCACACACATGCGCCTGGTGTGAGTTTAAGCCACCGGGTCTGAGACTCAAAACACGGTCGACTATGTGGGAATCCAGCAACATAGCCATTATGCTAACTGCTGGTCTCAGTTTCTGTACAACTTTAACAAAATTACTGAACTCTTTATCTATTAAATGGGGTACTGACAACAATTCTTCCTGTATTATGGGGAAAATCTGAGTGGGTTCTTGGTTCTGAGAAGTCCTGGGTAATGGACGGTTCCTTTCTTCCCTTTTCCTAACAAACTCGACAAAAGAGGCAGGTCAGTCTCTACCTAGAGGGACTAACCTAAGGCATATTGTAACATGTAGTTTTTCTAAGAACTCTGTAATTTTTAAATTATATTATTTCAGCACCAACTTTCCTTTTGTTTCTATGTGTTTTGGGGCAACAATGATAAGATGGTAAACTAAATTAAGTTTCAAAACACTGAGAAGGAGCTGGCAGGTGGTGTGGTGGTTAAGGGTGCTGGACTCCCACATGCTGACCGTGTTTTGAGTTCTGGACCTGGCAGCTTGTTTTCTCACTTTCCTCTCTCTTTTGTCTTTCTTTGGTCAAATTAATAATAATAATAATAATAATAATAATAATAATAATAATAATAAAAAAGTCGAATAAAAAAAAAAACACATGAGATGCTGGGACCAGCAGATGGTTGGTGTAATGGTTATGTTGCTGTACTCATATAGTCGACCATGGTTTAAATCCCCGATCAGGTGACTTAAAACTCACAGAAGGCGCATGTGCATGTGTGTCCAAAATCCCTAGAGGAGAGTGAAGGAGAAGGGACTGTGGCATGGCTATTCCCCTTGGGGGTGATGTGTTGCTTTCTGTCTTTCTGATAAGGGCATGCGCCTGATAGCAAAAAACAAAACCTCTCAAGAAAACCACTCTGTCCTCAAATGTTAGCTTAATTAATCTTTGTAAAATGTTAATTAATCTTTGCAGTATGTAGTTTTGAGTAAGGTAATGAAATAGTGCAATGGGAAGAGTGAAAGATAAACAATTTAATGATGAAAGTCCAGTGGTATGAATGTAAAATGGTACAAATGTAGAATGAACAGCATTTTACCACCCGTAAATTGAAACAAACAGGATTATTTGGTTAGCAATCTTAACACAAAGTAACAATGGTCAGAGTACCTTAGCTAAACAAGGGAATTGCTAATAAAAGACATTCACCGGCTCACAATATTTATTTTTTAAAAAGGTTAATCCTCCCAATGACTTAGTTCTACAGAACCAGCATAAGGGAAATTGTATTAATGGCTTTTTTTTCTAGCTGTAGACACCATTTAGTACAGAGCGAGAATAACGAGGGAAGATTTAGTAGTACATATAAAAGTTGAAGAGTTTGGTGACTATTAGCCTCCACCAAAAAATACAGGTCTGGATTAATTGTTTCATATACTGGTTGTTAAATATTAAAATGAGTCAGGAATTCAGCTTAAAACTTAAAGTGTAAAATTTACTTCTTGTCTAGTCAGTGGCATAGTGTTTAAGGTTGCTAGATCCCACATGACCCACTGTGTGGTTTGAGTCCCAGACCTGGTGGCTTATGCTAGGTGCGTGTGTGTGAGTACCCCAAAATCCTAAGAGGAAAAGGAAGAAGGGGTTGCTTTCTCACTCCCCCTCACCCCCCACATTGTCCCTGTTTGGCAAACACACATAGCCTATAGCAAGTTTGAAAAAGAAATGTCCTTCTTATTAAAAGTAGATGTCTCTGTTGTTATTTTATTTGGGTGAGTGTGTGTGTAGATACAAACACAAAGTCATAAGCACTTCAATCTACGATTGCCCCTCTTGGTGCACTGATTTTGAATTTATATCGATGCTTGCTATACTAAAGCTTTCTTTCCAGTTAGCCAAGATTATCAACATCTCTGAGATTTTCTGTCACTTCTCACAGCTAATACAGAGAACAAGGTGACAAAAATGGCAGGAAAGGATCTTATACTCTAGAAAGGAGGGGAGACACTAAATATAAGTAAATAAGCCCTAAGAGTAATTTTGGACCGTGGTAAGTGCCCCGAAGACAATATGATTTGGGATAGGAGTGTTGGGACGATTGTTTATTTTTATTGTTATTATATTAAATTGAAAAGTAATAATTATGGATATTTTGGGGTAATGTGTGATATTTTGATACATATATACAGTATATAGTGATCTAATTGGGGTAATTATCTTATCTATTACCCCAAGTATTTATTGTTTCTTTGGGTTAGAAGCATTAAAAATCCTTTAGTCTAGCTTTTTTGAAATGTGTACTACATTTTTGTTATAGTTCCCCCCAGTGTTATTGTACTCTAGAATTTATATCTCCTAGGTAGCTACAGCCCTGTGTCTGTTAACCAAACGCTCCCATCCCCCTCCCCGTGTACTTCCCAGCCTCTCATATCCACTATTTGTCTACTTCCATGAGTCAACTGTCTTAGTTTCCACATGTGAGTGAGAAGATGTGGTATTTGTCTTTCTGTGCCTGGCTTAGTTCATGTAACATAATGTCCTCCAGACTCATCCATGTTGCCTTGAATGACAGGATTCATCCTTTTTTTTTTTTATTTTTTAAATAATTTCTGTCTGAATACTAGGACCAGCAGCTGGTGTAATGGCTATGTTGCTGGACTCCTGTGTAGTCGACTGCGGTTCAAGTCCCGGACCTGGTAGCTTAAACTCACGCTGGGCGCATGTACGTGCGTGCCTAAGATCCCAAGAGGAGAATGGAGGAGAAGGGATTGCGGTGTGGCCATCCCCTCTGCGGGGTGGTTTCTCGCTTTCTGTCTCTCTGTCTGTCTCTGTCTGTTTGGCAAGTGCACGCGCCCTATAGCAAAAACCTCCTCCCCCGCAAAAAAAGTGCTTGTGTAATAATTCTTGGGGACTATTTTAAACAAGGTGGCCAGAGAAAGTCTCTACAAAGGTGACTTTTTTTCTTTAAAGAATTATTTACTTTTCATCATCATCATCATCATCACTTCAATTTGATCAGAGAGAAACAGAGACAGAGAGGGAGAGGGAAAGTGAGAAAGCAAGCCAACAAGGTCTCGACTTGAACGACAGTTGGCCATGTGGGAGTCCGGTACACTTAAGCACCACGCCACCTGCTGGCCTCAAAGGTGACTTTCTATGTGTGTGTGTGTTTAGGTTTTGGCCAGAGAGTGTGTACTTGCCGGAGGAAGACAGAGAGAGGGAAAGTGAAAAATTACTCCCTGGGGGGGAGGAGGCGGGGGGTGGGGGGTGGGGGACAGCCATGCCGCAATCTCTCCTCTCCTCCATTCTCTTAGGATTTGGGAGCATACAAGCACCTGGCATGATTTTCAAGCTGCTGGGCCAGGACTAAAACCATGGTTGCCCATATGGAAATCCAGTGCCTTAACCACCACGCCACCTGCTGGTCTGCAAAGGTGACATGTGAAGGGGCTTGGATCTTAAGGAGCTGGCTATGTGAAAGCCAGAGCAAAGGAAGGCCAGGCTGAAGAATAAGAAATGTAAATATCCTGAGGTAGGAAACAAGTTGGTGTGTTCACGAGACAGACAGGAGACTAGCATGACTGCAGCAGTGAGCACACAGGGCTGGAGCTAGAGGGGCCTCGGGGCCAGGTCACAAGGGCCAAGTCGGCCATCAGGGGCATCTGGACTGTGTCTGAAGTACAAATGAAGGCCAGGAGGCAGTTTTAGGCAGGGGAAGGATACAGTCTAGCTTTATGCTTTCAAAGGAGCCCTGTCTGCTGTGAGGAGGAACTAGGCAGGGACAAGACTGGAGGGCACACCGAGACGCTCCTTCCGGAGAAGGGTGATGGTGATGCAGGCAAGGGAGATTGTATATGGAGCGTACTGTATATGGAATAAAAATATGAATATTAACCTAGTGACTATGCCTACATTTGGTGTTGGGAAAAAAGTCACACAAACATTGCAAACTTTGCTTTTCATATCTTACTTTATGTTAGATACTGGCATTACGTAAGTTATGTGATCCAAGAAGTACATAAAAACAACCAGTTAGGCCCAATAGTCTTTCGGGCTTACTTACCAGCTTTGTAATTCAAGACTTCAGATGTTTTCTTACCTCAGGGAGACTTTCAATAAAAGAATGGATATTTGCCGCCTTTGCTACTTCTTTTATCTCGTCTAATGACACCTCACGGCTGTTATCACCATAGGCGATGTTCTCAGCAATGCTACAGTTGAAGAGCACAGGCTCTTGAGAGACGATTGCTATTTGGGAACGAAGCCATTGTACATTCAAGTCTTTTGCATCTATACCGTCAAATAGCTGCCAAAACAGAATGGAGAATGGTATGTTACGATCTGATGGCCGTATCGTGTTACACTTCATCATATTCAAACACACAAATCATAACAAGAAGGTTAGGAATTTAAGCTATTTCTAAGTATAATGTTACCCAAGGAAGGCTCATAAATCTTATGTAGTATAGAAGCAACAGCCTGTAACTCATTAAAATGCCTTCTCCCGAACTTAACATTTCTAGGAATGGACACATATTCCTGAGACCTGTCTGGAGCCTGAAGTAAACCCTCCGGGTCTTTCCTGAAGTCAGAGGAAAATGACCAACTGCTCCCTCAGCAGTAACAGGACCCCACCTCTGTTAAAGCCCAGTGAGTATACAGACTGATGTAGTAGTTCACATGTACAGGTACGCTATTTTGCACATAGCTGTTTGCTCATATGGATTCAGCTGATATATACATACACACACACATACACATATAATATACCAATACTTATCATATATTGGGTTGTTGGAAAGTCATGACATATTTTTCTATGCAAAAATGTCTCATAACTTTTCTGAGGACACAGTATATATACATATATACACATACACACATACATGTATATACACACATATATACACATACATACACATATATATGTATATATAAAATGATATATTGTATATACATTTTCAAAATTCATGATGGAGAGCACATAAATTTGCACTAGGATGGGAAAGTGAGAGAAAGAAAAGCACTGTCTACAGGGGCTCAGCATGCTGTGATCCACTTCCTGTAGGACTCCAGCTCATTAGGGTCTTGGGTACTTGCAGTTGTTCTTGACGTGTTTTCAGGCTAACCAGAGGAGGATCTGAGCCCATGGTCAGTCATGTGGCTTCCCACACTACAGTTCAGTTTGCTACCACCGCACCACCAGGCTGCGTCTCAACTGATCTTTGATGAGCATGCCTACTACGTGATGGGACTCTTGAGGTATTGGGGAAATAGTGGTAAATAAGACAGAGTTCTTGCCCTCCTGTAGCTTATAATCTTGCAGAGAGAGACAGGCAGTTACACACTAACTAACGACTCAATAAACTCAGATAAGGAAAGTGCCGTGAAGTCAGGTTAATAGGATGGAAAGCGCCTCAGGCAATGAGGAGGGCGTAGGCAAGGGTGTGCGTTTATTTTTCTCAGAGCTGTCTAAGAAGGCCTTAAGGAAGGAAGATTTGAACCAGGACATAAATGATGAGAAGGAGCTGGTAAGGAAGCTGGAGTAAGAACTTTCCAGGCAGAGGACAAGCAAAAAGGCTCACAGGTGTGTTTAAAGAACAAAAGAAGGCCAGAAAACTGACACACAGGGAGGCTGAGTTGCCCGAAAGGAGGAAGAAATGTAGGAGAAGGGGTTCCGACATGACCATGGACCATGAGGTGCTTTCTCCTCTCCCTCCTTCTCTGTCCAGCGCATGCATCTCTAGCAAAACAAACAAAAAAGAATAGTCCCACTAACCCCAGACTAGGCGCATATAAATTCAGTCTTACCACTTGTCCTTGCACTGGGTCATAAAATCTCTGCAGAAGGTGAACAGAGGTGCTTTTCCCACAGCCACTGCTTCCAACGAGAGCTACTGTCTTCCCTTTCTCAATACTGAGGGACAAGCCCTGAAGTATGAACACATCAGGGCGACATGGATAGAAGAAAGAGACGTCGCGGAACTCTAAACTCCCTTCACATGTGTCCTGTGGAAGGAAGTCGGCAGTGCTTGGCAGGGTGACTTGAAAGATTCAAACACATTGCAGCATGTTCGCTAAGCCCTTTCGGAAACCAGTTGTGTTTGTACAATCATTTTAATTTTAAAGGTTATGTCCATCTCTGTAGAGCACCTGACTGTAGGCTGTCTTCTATCACTGTTGTTTAGGTTTTTGTATCTGTGTTTCTTGTTACATTCCCTGCTGGACTTCACCAAGTCCCTAAAATTTACTAGCCTCTTCCAGCTTCGCTGCACAGACACAAATTTGCTCTGCAGGCTGCATCTTTGACCACTTGTTCTGAATAACTTCATCTTTTAAAAATTATTATTTGGGTCCCTTTGCTCGGCTGATGCCAAGGTGCTCGGTCTTTCCAAGGAAGATAAGGCCGCGTTGGGGTAAGGCCCTCACTTCATCCAGTGACTAGTGCCGTGTTGGCAGAGCTGGCTCTATGCCTGTCCTCACCATGGTCTCCGTTTCTGGGCTCACCTGCAGTCATTTGCTCCTCATGCTGCACTATGATGAGGTGACCTCATGGAGAATAAGATTAATGCTCTCATTAAAGCAGCTGGTGTAAATGTAGAACCTTTTTGGCCAGGCTTGTTTGCGAAGGCCCTGGCCAGTGTCAACACTGGAAGCCTCATCTGCACTGTAGGGGCTGGTGGGCAGCACCTGCAGGAGGCCCAGTCCCCCCTGCTGCTGCTGCTGCCCCAGCTAAAAAGAAGAAAGCAGAAGCAAAAAAAGAAAAATCTGAAGGAGCTGATGAAGACATGCACTTTGGTCTTTTTGACTAATTCTCTTTTGTAACATGTTCAATAAAGAGCTGAACTTGGGGGCCGGCAAGTAACATGGTGGTTAAGGTGCTGGAATCCCACATGGCCAGCTGTGGTTTGAGTCTCGGACCTGGCGGCTTGCTCTCTCTTTCTGGTGAGGGCATGTGCTCTGTAGCAAATTAAAAAAAAAAAATTGGTAATAAATAAAATGAAATAATTCTCTTTTACAAAAAAGGAGTTGTAGAAAAAGAAATATCTGGAAGGAAGAATATATGCCAAGTTGTAAATATAGCCAATATTAAGTTTACTTTCAGTTCATCTAATGTTTCCCATTTTGCTCCCTTAAACATATATGTATATTATTCGTGCAAAAAAGTTGTTTTTATTAAGCCCAGAATAACATAGAAAAACAAAAAGTATAATTATTTCTGTGCATACTCTGGTTCTTCAAAAAAGGTATGGACTTGGGGCAAGCAGGTGGCATAGTGGTTAAGGCACTGGAATCCCACATGGCTGAACTGCAGTTCGAGTTCTGTATTCAGCAGTTTGAAATTCATTCTGGCTCGTGTGCATGCATGCCCAAAATCCTGAGAAGAGAATGGAGGAGAAGGGACTGCAGTGTGGCCATGTCCCCAGGGGGTAATTTCTTGCTTTCTCTCTCTCTCTGATGAGTGCACACACCCCATAGTAAAAAGAAAAAGAAAAATCTCTCTCTCAAAAAAAGTTTATGGGGCCAGCAGGCGGTGTGGTGGTTAAAGGCGCTGGACTCTCATATGGTTGACTGTGGTTTAAGTCCTCAACCTGGTGGCTTGCTTTCTCACTCCCCCACCTCCCATCAAACTGGAAAATAATAATAAATAAAGTTAAATAAATTAATTTTTAAAAAGTTTAGACCTTAAACATTTTAAAATTTATTTATTTATTTATTGTTTTTGGAGGATATTTTGCTAGAGGGCACATGTGCTCACCAAAGAGACAGAGAGAGACAGAAAGTGAGAAATCACCTTCCCCAAGGGATGGCCATGCCACAATCACTTCTATTCTTCTCCCAGAATCTTGGGCATGCATGCACATGTGCCTGGTGTGAGTTTGAAACCACTGGGCCTGGGACTTGAACAACGGTCAGCCATGTGGGAGTTTGGCTATGTAACTGCTACACCATCTCCTGGCCCCTTAAAATTTATTCTTGTGGGGAGAGGGCAGTGGGTAGCATGGTGGTTAATGGTGCTAGACTCCCACATGGCCAACCACAGTTTGAGTCCTGGACCTGGAGGCTTGCTTTCTCAGTTTCTCTCTTCTCTCTCTCTCTTTTTCTCTTCCTACCTCCCTCTCTTAAATAAAGTTAAATAAAATAATTCTTAAAAAAAATTATTCTTGTTGGGCTGGCAGGTTGCATGGTGGTCAAGGTGCTAGAATTCCACATGGCTAACTGTGAGTCCCGGACCTGGAGGCTTGCTTTCTTACTTTCCCTCCCACTCTGTATCTCTCTGGTCAAATTAAAAAAATAATAATGACGATGATGAATAAGGTGAAATAAAATAATTCTTTTTTAAAAATTAAAAAATTTATTCTAGTAATTTCTAATTGTATTTATTATAGAATATTTCAAACACATATAAAAGTAGAGAGAAAAATGTAATGGATGCATTTCCAGATGCCTATCACCCAGATTCAATACTTATCAGTATTTGCCAATTTTATGTGACCCAATTTTAATTTTTAAAGGCAGAGAGAGTGATATTTAGAAGTGTCTGCTTTGTTTGCACTGGCAGGTGGCATAGTAATTAAGGCACTGGACTCCAAATGGCCAACTGCAGTTTGAATCCTAGACCTGGCAGCTTGCTTTCTAACTTTCCCTTTTTCTCTCTTTCTGTCTCTCTCTGGTCAAATTAAAAGTAATAATAAGGGGACTAGCAAATGTCATAGCAGTTATGTCACTGGGCTCCCACATGGCCGAACATGGTTCGAGTCCTGGATTTCTCACTTTCCAGCTCTGTCTCTCTTTATTTCTCTCTGGTGAACACACATGCCCTATAGCAAAAAAGTCTTCAAAATAAAAATGAAAAAGAAATTAAATAACTAAATAATCCTTTAAAAATGTTAAAAAATATCTAGGAAGGTATTAAAATCAAATATGTATTTAAAGTATAAGACAATTACTGAGAGGCATATTTTCAAATTATACAATCTATTATCTCACTTTCTTTTTAAAAAAGTTCATCTATTTCTTGAGAGAAGATATGGGGGGAAGGAGAAAGAGAGAGTGAGGGAGACCTTGACGAGATCTTCTCACCTTTCTAGCCTCCCAACAGGCCAGGGTCACAGGTGCATTTGGGCATGTCCAGCATGTGCAGTTGACTTGGGACCTGAACCCAAGCTTTCCACGTGGCTCTAGCACCCTACTGCCTGCGCCACTTTGGCTGGGCTCTATTATTTCCTTTTACTATGTTCAGTCTTCAGAGTTTATGACTAAATTTGCATATGTGACAAGATTTAGTGAGCATAGTTCCTCTTTTCCTAAATATATTGTTTTATACATATATTTCCCATGAAAAACAGTGTCTGAAGCAGCAGGACATTATTCACTTTGTATGTATTATTGAAGGAAAAAATACATAAACCCTAATATAAATCTCATTTAAGACCTTGTCTTCATTTAAGACAAAAGTTTTAACTTTGACTGTCTAAAGAAAAATCATAGGAATCAATCCTTTGTTTAAAGAAATCTCATGGTGGGCCAGTAGGTGGCATGATGGCGCTGGACTCCCACATGGTCAACTGCAGTTTGAGTCTTGGACCTGGCAGTTTGCCTCCTCACGTTTTCTCTCTTTCTCTCTGGTTAGTGCATGTGCTCTATAGTGAAACTGAAAAATAAATAAGTACAATAAAATAAATAATTCTTTAATAAAAAACTCACAGCATCAGGCAAATAAACTGAAGTCATCTCTCGAAAGTGAGGGAACATCACCCAGGGGAGATGGCCATCCCACAGTCCTCCTCCATTTCTTCCATTTTTTGGGCATTTGGCTCATGTGCTCAGTGTGCTTCTCAAACTGCCAGATCTGGAACCCAAACTATGTAGCTGGTCATGTGAGAACCAGCCACCTCAACTGCGGTGCCACTGGCTGACCCTTGACTCTTTGCTATTATAGTGCTATGTTTTTGCAAAGTTACCAATAATGCCTTAATGTAATAAGCAAAGATTTAAAATCATAGCTGGGCTTACTGGTTTTTTCCCTTCTTGACTGTGGCTGTCTATCGTTGGTTTCTTTTCCAACAAAGCAAACAGATGCGCAGCCCCAGATTTGGCTTTGGAATATTCAGGTGCCAAAACAAGTGCTTCTCCAACGGCCATGGCTCCATAAGCAATTGCAGTAAAAACTCTGTCAAAATAAGAACATTTGAATCTCAGTTCAATTTTAAAATAGTGGATCTCTAAAAGTAAAGGTAAAAGTGGGCCAGGAATATAACCTCTGGCACAGAGAGAAACACTCATGCCGAAGGCCCAACAACGGTTAACTCTATTTTTAATTTTTTTCCCCTACTTAATCACTTTACATCTTTACAGTGTACAAAATGGTTTCCCCAGCATGAATACAGTGCTTATTAGTCAAGTCACATTTACCATAGACATTACCATCAACAGTTTACTTTTCATTTCTGTTTCCGTTAAATGCCTTTTTCCCTGTCCCCTCTTTTCCACTTCTACTACCCACCTCCTCCTATACTGTCTCTAGTATTTCAGGTGCCCTCCCTGCTGTTATACCTTCCAATCTTCCAGTTCCTGCCACAGAGTGCAGATATTTGGTGTATATTAAGAGGGGACAAGCAGTACCTGTCTTTCATAGGCAGGTCCTGACATTTGATACAAAGTGGACAAATATGGAAGATTGAACTGGTATCTTTTTGTAAAATTTTCTACTACATGTTAACCATCGCTTATTCTGTTCACCAAAATAACCTTCGGAGTGTGAGTAATCTTAAAAATTTTCTCTTCCAATTAGAGACATAGATCAAAGGCCCCACCTAGTGAATATAAAACTTCTCAGCCACCTTAATGTAAGGTTTGGTGATTTGACAGAGAATTCAATTGACAATAGAATGATGAGATCTGAATTTACACAGTAGATATGATATGACTGTTTTTCTTTCCTTTCTTTTTGTTGCATAGAATGTAGTTAGAACAGATAACTGAAGCTAGGTGATTGGTTATCTGCCTGATGTATTGCACAATTTAGAAAGCAAAGCATGGGGATTGTATTTTCTTAAAGCCCCAAAACTCAATCTAACTAAAATACACCTTAGCTAAGACTGGAAGAAGAGCTTTGATCTTTTAGGTTTGCAATAGATTATGATCTCAGTTTCAAAATATGTTAATTATAAAATGGTAAGTAAGCAAATAATGTTTGGAGGCATACAGACTATTCACAGAATTGTAGCCTATCACATGACCATGATTGAAATATTTTCCTTTCATTTTCTATTTCATTTTAGATATGAAAATACCTTACTGGAATGAAAACAATGCATCTCAGTAACAGAGCTAAATATAATTCAGTTAAAACTAGACAAGTTCCACTGGCAATATTTAAACATTAGGCAATAAAAGGACATCACAGAACCCAGGTGCTTGTTTGCCTGGCTGGATCACAGCAAGATAAATGTGTCTGGGCTCCTTGTAAATTTTTCCCTCTCTGGGACCTACCAAAGGGTGGATGTCAACGTCATCTCATTGATCTAGACCTCAGATCTTGAACCTTTTCAGCTTTACGAATATCAAACACAATATAAAATATAGAACGACCAGTTTACTGGGATGTATGATGTTAAAAGTACTGTAGTCACTAGTTCTGTAATATCAAGGCATTTTCAGTACTAATAATTGCAGAAGTTGTTTAAAGCTCAAAGTGCCATTCACGATACTTGATAAACAGCTATAAACATCAGAAATGGTTAATGAGTTTAGGTAACATAGAGGCTTTCTAATTTAATTTAATTTTTTTTATTTGCTAGAGGGTCTGTGAGCTTGCCAGAGAGAAAAAGAGAGAATGAGCAAGAAAGCACCTCCCATAAGGAATGGTCATGCCGCAATTCCTTCTCCATCTTCCCCTCCTTTTGGGATTTTGGGCATACATGCATGTGGATCCAGCATGTATTTTTAAGTTGCTGGGTTCAGGACTCCATCTGCGTGGCTGGCTGTGTGGGATCCAGCTGCCCCAACCACCAGGCCGCAAGCTAACCCTTAAAATTTGTTTTTAATGCCAAAAAAATCAAACTGGTTAAAACTTAAGCCTAAGTCTGATAGAAGACCCAGCACATGAGGTGGGAAGATAACTGCATTTTGAGTCAGGAGATCTGATCTGGATTCCAGCCTCAAAGAAGCAGAGGCTTCTCAGAACTCAAAATTGGAAAAACAGCTCTTGGGATTTGAGGTATGCCAAAATATTTACAGGTCCTAAAATTATTCCATTAAAGTAATTTTAAAGCATTAAATATAAATCTCCAGGGGTGATTTTCCATGTTAGGACCCTCCTAAAATGGAAATATTACCAAGAAGGGGAGAAGAGCCTTTGATTTAGAACTTGGGGGCCGGCAGTGGTTAAAGATACTGGATTCCCACATGGCTGACTGTGGTTTGAGTCCTGGAGCTGGCAGCTTGCTTCTCACTTTCTCTTTCTCTTTCTCTCTCTCTCTCTCTACATATATATATATATATATATATATATATATATATATACATACACATACATATATATGCATATATATATATCCCTCTCTGATCAAAGTTAAATAAAATCATTTTTTAAAACAAAAAAAGAACTTGTCTATGGGAGGTAAATGACCTAAAGCATGGAGAATGGAGCAAGAAGCAAGGTTTTAGTAGAGAAGGAAGAGCACTAAATGAGCCTTTCGAGCACATCTGAGCAATGGGCAAATCCTCTTGTCTATCATTACTGTTGAGATAAAACTGGAATTTTAAGAAGATCCTGTAGCTAGGAACAATGCATGAAAAAGCATAGAACTGAATAATCTGAATTTTAACACAATTGATCCAAACAAGAGTACTTTGCAAGTTATTAGTTCAGATCTACTTATCTCCTCTGAATTCTGCTCCCATATCTAGTTTGTAGACCTTTGATGACTTGTCCTAAGAGGAAGTATAGTGGCTCTGAAGCCCTGTGACCTTGGGAATATTACTTTACTTCTCTGTGTTTCTATTTCTTTATTAGCAAATGGGAAAAAACAAACATATCTATATCTTGTAGGGTTGTGAGAATTATCGACATAAATAATGTACAGGGCTTAGTACAGTGCCTGCAACATAGTAAGTGCTCAGTGAATGTGAATTATTTTTCTTCTCACTTAAGTGAAAGTAATAGCACATTTTCTGTTAGAAAATAAGCTCTCACACTTCTCTAGAAATAAATTAGCACAGCAGGTCAAATTACAACTCTCAAAGTCCCCACTCAGTAAGTTTCTCCCTTGACTGGAAAGCAGGATATCCTTCCTCTCAGAGGAAGTAATTAAAATCATTCCCATGCTCATAATTCCCCCCATCATCCATGTACAACCCAGAGGTCCTCTTCCTCTCACCCAAAGTAACTTCCTCCAAAGATGGGAGAGATAAAAATAGACAACTTACATTTATTTGGTACTTTGGCTCTTACAGAATGTTTTCATACACATTGTACCATTTGACCACCTAGGAGAAAAGTAGAGTAGGAATCTCTGCACCTCTCCCTTTTCTAGATTTTTCTTTTTTTTTTTGCCATAGGGTGCATACACTCACTGGAGAGAGACAGAAAGAGAGGGAAAGTGAGAAATCATCCCCAGGGAGGATCGCCACACTGCAATCCCTTCTCTTCCATTCTCCTCTCAGGATTTTGGGCATGCATGCACACATGCCCAGCATACTTCTCAGGCCGCTAGGTCTGGGACTTGAGCCACAGAGTTGGCCATGTGGGATCTAGCTCTTTAACTACCAAACCACCTGCTGGCCCATCCCTGCCTTTTTTTTCCCCCTTAAGTTTTTGCAAAAGGGTATGTGTGCTTGCTAGAGAGAGAGAAAGAGAGAGAGAAAGTGAAAAATTATCCCCTAGGGAGTATGGCCATGCTACAATCTCTTCTCCTCCATTTTCCTTGGTAGATCTTGGGCACATATGCACATGTGCCTGGTGTGATTTTTCAAGCTTCCAGGTCCAGGACTTGAACTGCTCAGTCAGTCGTGTGGGATCTACTAGCTTAATCTCCATACCACCTGCTGGCAACCCTGCCCTTTTTAAGAAGTTAATTTTATCCATGATAGTGTTTGTTCAGGAGAAAATGAGAATATGAGAGAGAGAGAGAGAAGCACCCTTTTTGGGGGGTGGTGGTCTCATGTCATGATCCCCTTTCTTTCTCTGGCGCTCTAGTTTGCCAGGATCTTGGGTGCACACACACACACACACACACACACACACACACACACCTGGTGTGTTTTCAAGCTCACTCAGGGACTTGAACCTGTAGTCAGCCATGTGGCTTCCAGTAAGGTAGTTTAGTTTGCTACTAGGCTGGGCCAGAGAAGGAACTATTTATCACCTAAGAAATGAGAAGGCTTCAGCAAATTATGCAAACTTTCCAAGGTTGCACAGCTACACAGCTGTAAGGTTGGAATATGAGCCTCCTTCTTTTCTGTGGTTTCTGTAGACTGTACTCTGCAGTAGAAAGCTGGCAGGAATAGTTTCTCCCAATGTTTCGGGGTTTGTTACCACTTGTTCCCCATTTTAGAATCTTTGGGGCCTTAGATAACAACTCACCCTCAACTTCTCTCTTTCAGATCCCTTTAGTGGTTAATCTAGTATCCTTATCTTGTCTTCCTTCCCTGGGGAGGAGGCAGGCAGAAACTGGGTGGCTGCCAAGGCAGTGAATGGGAAAAGAAGACATTCCTGTTTTCTTTGTTTTGGCTAAGATTGCTTTCCTAATTGTCACCATGGCACTTAATTGTCAGATGGCTGCTCAGTTGCCTACAGCAAAGATGATGTTAGAGGCCTAGTTTGTTTCTTTCCATCTTCATTATTTCAATGTATCAATCAACTGTTCATTGGAAACCTATCTATGTTGCTATTTTGATCATTTAATATTGAAAATCGAATGTGATTTCCTATCAAGAACTCATTGGGGTTTTATTTGTTTATTTATTTTTTATATTTTTGCCATAGAGCATGTGGACTTGCCAGAGACAGAGAAAGAGGGAAATTAAGAACTCACTCCCCTCCTCAAGGGGGTGGCCATGCCACAATCCCTTCTCCTCCATTCTCTTCTAGGACTTTGGGCACACATGTTCATGTGCCTGGCATGTTTTTCAAGCTGTTAGGTCCAGAACTCTAACCACAAAGTTGGC